GATCCAGTGCTGTGACAGAATAAAACTGTGAAGGAGCTAAGCAACGTATTGCTGCTGTGTTGAAACCACATTTTGATAGGATATTCTTCAAATATCAAACAGAAAATTGAGGAGAGACTCACAAATGTGATTTTACAGTAGGAATTAGTATGTAGAATTTTACCCCTTTGTGAGGTTCTTTCCCACACTACTGCTTATCCTATCATTTGGTGAGTGTGTATCGTCTTTGTTTTTCCCAGTTCCTACAGGTTGTGTGATGCTTTTAAGTAGTGCTCTTCTTAATAAGTAGAGGAGGATTGTTAATAGACTGTCTTATTGAGCATAATGAGGCTACATGTGTGGGAGCTTTTTATAGAAACATTTGTTAAATAGTCTGAATATGAGAGATAAAAGGCCACTGGAGAACAGACACATGGAAAGTCTGCAAGAAAAAAATGTAGCAGCCAGAGTAAAAGAATGAGATATTGCTGTTGAGAGAAGTGTGAAGATCAGCTTTGAGTTTTGGCTAGAAATGTTTTGATTTGTAGCGACCAAAAAACACCCCAACTGTTATGTTCTGATGATCTGTATGTCTTCCTATTTAGTAAGAAAAATATGAGTTATGCAAAAGTTAAAAAATCTTTCTCCATCCATTTGTCCATTTTAAAAAGTTTTGGTATCTGTCCAACTTTTCTTTGGCTTAGTCCCGGAAGAGAGGACATTGAGGGACATCATCACAAAATGTGACCATTCTGCATTCAGCCTTTCTTCCTTGTGTAATTTGAATGTGTCAGGTGGCACATCTCATCATTAGCTGAGGTCCTAGTAGGCATTACTTGAAAACTTCAACATATTTCTCCATGTCCCTGCAGCCATATGTAGACATAAGGCAGAAAAATTGTTTTCCTTCAAAATTACTTTAGCTTTACTTGTATTAATGTGTTCTTGGACATGCTTACCGTGTTCAGATTCTGTATTCTGTTCCCAGCTATGTAGCAGAAGAAACCGCCACAAACTTTTCCCAGAGATCTGCACATCTGTGTTATAGGCCCTTTCAGCAGTTCATTCTGTTGAAGAACTCCTTTGCAGCCAAGTAGTAACTGAGAAGAGGAAAAGTGCAAACCTTTTTTTTTTCCCTTGTTGTAGGAATATTTCATGCAGAAAACTGTCACTCCCTCTTCTCTAATAGCCTTGCCTCTTAACTAAGATTGCTGAAACTGCTGGCCATCCCAGTATACTTTAAAGTTTATTCTTCCCAAGAGCATACCACATGTTCTTCCTGCTTCTTATTATTGAGTGTGAGTCCTGGAAGTCACTGTCCATCTGGATTTTGTGCACTGACCTCAGCAAGAAAGGAAAGTTGGCTGCACTCATGACTGCAGAGTATAGGAAGTTCCTTTTTGCCCTGATATTTCTTCAAGACAGGTGCACAAGCTGTATTGTGAGTATTGCTACTAAGTAAGGAGGGAGCAGACAAATGAGAAGGGTACAGAGCTGGATGCTCTATAGTCACATAATGGATACAGCTTGGACAGAAAAAACATGTGCTCCTGCAGTTTGACATAATGTATAGCATGCAGGATTCCTGCCATTCCCAGCAAATTCTAATAAATTGGCAAATTCTAGTCTGAAATAGGTATTTCCCTTTAAGTTTCCTTTATCATTTTACAAGTGAATATTTCACAAGCATAAATGAACTACATGCCTAATAAAATTACAATGTGAAATATCTTATATGTGGTTTCCTACTAAGGCTTAAGGCTAGATTTAGTAGACTGTGTTAGACTCCTTTTATTGTGGTATTTGTGAGGTTCCTTCAAAAATATTTAATTTAAACAAATAATGGTGAAAATATACTTGTTATGTTAAATATGTTCCAAAAGAGATACCACGTCAAGCCTTGCAGCTTAACTCTGTGACAAGTCTGGTCACTGTCAGCAGCTGATACACTGAATTCTTAATTCATCACCTGCTTAAAATCAGTTCAGGTTGAGGGAATCCAATAGAGACAAAGCAGACAGTTATGTGTTTTAGAAAGTGGAATGACATACCCTGATCAGTGGTTGAGGAAGACGTGTAAATTTTACCAGAGGACTTGTAGCATATGTGATTGTGGCTACTGGTCCCAAAGCAAAGAACACTTTAACCCTTTGAGCCAACTCAGGATAAGTAGAAAATGCCACGAAGCCTGCAAACACAGAAGACACAAGTCTAATTAGTGAAGAGATCTCTGCGGACCAAATAAATAAAAAAGCCATAGGCAGCAAAGAAGTGAGACTAGATTAGCAGACCATTGTTTGTTGTCCCTTTCTGTGCTGCAGACCTAAGGAAAATGTATTTTCTTGTAATGTTTATTTGAGAGACAGAGTTCATTCTAAATATACATGTTAATTAAAGCATGTCCGGATATTGATTTTCTAAGAACTGATGATTTTGCATTAAGGGCATTTTTACAGGAGAAGAGGCATTAATCCCATAAAGAAAGCATATGAGGAAGGAAGGGAGGGAGGAAAGGAGGAAAACCAAAAAGGGTGCATCTGATCCTGTTTTCTGAACACATCCAAATTTCTCCACTGATGGATTTGATGAGATCTTTACCTGGTTATCTAAAACGTAGGTATCTAAAAACAAACAAGGTGATGTCTTGACGTGTTCTGCCAAAAGACCCTTAGAATGCATTTATAAGAAGACAGGAAAATGACTAAGAACGTGGCCACATGCCACTTCCACCCATTTTCTGCTCTGTTTCCCAGTTTACTTTTGTAAATCAAATTGCTGTAAGACTGTAGAAAAAACAACAATTAAGTGCTTAGAGTATAATAAGAAAGGATGCTTAGGAAACTATAGTACAGGGTAACTGTTAAATAATATTTTTTATGTATCAGTAATCCTTACAGAAGTTAAAAGTCATTTTGGATTATGTATTATTTGCTTGTTTCAGATAGAACAGTTCTTAGGAAGCATTTCCCATATTTTGCAAGTGTCAGTTTAGAAAGTACTCCTTTCTTTAATAACTTACTATGATAAAGGAAGACAGAGAGAGAGAGAGAGAAAGAGGCATACTCCAGTCAGGTAGTCACATTAACTGTTTTGTACCCAGGCAGTTCTAACATTACCTGTTGTTGAGCCTTCAGAGTGACCAACATAATACACATCCTTCTGACCAGTTTTATTCATGATGAAGTACAGCTCTGCTGGAATATCATATTTACCTATCTCATCAAAGCTACAGGGGAGAAAAACAAAAAGCTCTCAGACCATTGGGCTACCACAGCACGAATTACTGAATGTCAGTTTTGTTCATTGCACCAAGCAGGACCCATTGAAAGGCGAGGTTGTACGGTTTGTCTGTGTTCTTGCTTGAGCTGGAGAAAGAGGTAGAGGGACACAACTTTACTGCCAGGCTGCCTGATGTTGTGGGCTCTCTGTGGAGGAGGTGCCCGTTTTTCCTGTCAGCTGCAGCCCTTGGGGAACGGAATTTAATCAGTGGTCTCACCAGCAGGGGTTACCAAAAGTATTTCTCTCAGCATCATTTGTGATAGATCAGATTTCTGGACTAAGCTGAGCAGTCTCCTCTCTCTATTTGGGACATGGTATCTGGTGGGAAACTTCAAAGTTACAGCTGCCTCCCAGTTTTGGAAGTCTTTTTCCCAAAGAAACCTGTCCTGTGTATGGACAAAAGTGACCTGTGTCATTCCAGCTTCTCTTCTGTATGTGCTGATTCCAGAAGGGCCTGTCTAGATCACGTAGCAAATCTATTTTATGACCCCCTGTGACATGCTCAGAAGTGGCTGCATCTGGGGAAAAGAGTTGGTCTAATCTCCTTAGATGTTGTATGTCCCACTTGAAGTCTAGAAGGGGATTATTTCATGTAACTAGAAAGAGAAAGGTTCTGCATCCCAGTATTAACTAAACAAGCTTGCCAGTCCCCTGAAAGTTGCTCTCTTCAGCAATTTTTTCTCCATGGAGTACCTGAATTGCCAGAACTCTTTCTGGCAGGACTTAAGGGTCTTGTGTTTTAAAGACCAGGTGTTTCCTCGGCTGTTTCCCAACCAGACATCGTAGCCGGCATCTGCGAGGATGAAGCCTAGGCTATTGTTGGGCAGGTTAGAAATCCAGTGGATAGAATCTCCTAAAGTGCCATGGTGTAGCAAGACTGCAGGCTTTTTCCCTGTAAAAGAAGAGGAGTTTCTTATGCTGTAGTAATAAGTAATGTGTAGTTAAAACTGGGGTGCAGAGCCTGGTTTTACAGGAGTTTTGTAACCTATATACAGAATTCAGATTGCATTCCTGACTAGGTGCTCTTGCTGAGATGGAAAGATGTGGAACACACCATTGCATGTGCAAATGGGAGAGATGGGGGAGCCATGTAAGAGTTGGCTCTCAGACCTTCCTTATGTCTTAAAACTGTGTCACACCTGTGTTTTGGCTCTTCCTCCCAAAAAAACACCAAGAATGTATCCATCCTCTGTGGTAACTTGGTATTCCTCACTGGGGTATCCATGATATCTGATAATTTCACTCTGTGGGAAACCAAAGGAGAGTTTGTTAACATGCATTTACAGCATAGAGATGGGTGGAGAAGGTCTAGGGACTGCTTCTGTCCAGGAATGTGAAGCTAGCCAAGAACATGCCAGGAAGATAAATATAACAGCACAACCCATGTCTCTTTCTTTCAGGAATGATCAGTTGTATGCTATAACTGGAGGATGCAAACGGCAGTGAGAGCAATTGAGCTATGTTTGTTTGCTGTGGTTTGTGCATGCTCTTCGAGGTGGTTTCAAATACCTAAAGCTGTGTTTGCTCAGGTAGAAGCACCTAGTTATACTTGGAGCTTTCCTGACATACCCCTTATTGCTTAGGCTTTGGCTATGTAGTATTTGGTGTAGCAGTGGTACCCAAGCACTACACAGGCTTGTAAGAGTGGCAGGGTGACAGAGTTCACCTGTGCAGCAAAGGAGGCTCTTCGTGGGCTTTGCAGCTTAGTTGTATGTGCTGTCATGTGTTAGGTCTGTCCTGGTAGTAGCTTTTCCTTGAGCATCCCACTGCTCTCCACCACTTTTCCTGGATACATATTTTTTCTTTCAGACTTCAGAGATGATTCTATTAAACAGCTCAGATAAAGCCATCCCACTGTGGAGGGTAACAAAGCCGAGTAATGTGGATGTGAGCTGTTCTGTGATGGTAGTGCAAGGCCCCTGGCCACAGGGACCATGGCTGAGAATAAATATTACAGGTCCTGTAAAAAGGTGCATCAAGTCTTTAGACCTGCTTACGTGGTAGTTGTCTGGTATTTGACCCCATATTATGGGACAAAGCAGAACTGTACTGAGTGACTAACCTTTTGGGAGGTAGTTTGTCATGCTGTGCAAGGCTGATGCAGATCATACATTTCTAGAGAGTAAACATGCAGCAGTATCTGTATAAGAAAGTGCTAGAAGCTGGGGTTTGGTCCATAATGAATCCTTACTTGCCAAAGCATGGTTAGACAATACAGGGTGGATCTCCTGTTACAGACTCACTCACAGCACCACGTGTTACACTCTTGCCGCTATTGTGAGGAAATCTTTGGTGTTTCAGAGCAAGGGGTCTTGGATTACTTTGTATTGGGAGAATCTGCAGTTTGAAGGAGGGATTCATCCTCCCTTGACACTGTACTGAGAAAACAGGATGTTACATGGGAGGACTTTGCTTCCTTTGAGACTAGAAACCAGCCTTTGCCTCCACTGCAAAGGAATTCTCTCTCTGGAAGCTGAAACTTTTTGGATAGGAGCATCTTTGTGCTCTTTGAAGGAGTCCTCCTGTCAGGAGAGGCTCCTGACGGGGACCATTAGTGATGGGGCAGTGGTGGTGGTACTTAGAGAGACACTTTAGAAAGAAAAGGAGAGAAGGTGACCCAACTTACAACATTCATAAAGCATTCAGGGTTGCGGGTCTTCCTGTACTGGCTTTTGTCTGAATTCAGAGTGGGGAGACAATTCCTTGGGAGCAGAGCAGCATGAGGAGGCACCACATCTTGGAGCTGTGTGAAAGAGCACATGTAGGTATTTGCATTAGGAAGAGAGTGGTGTGGAATTGAGTCTTCTGAAGGTTGCCCAAAGTCTGTTCCCCAAGGGGCTGCCAGAATAAGTACTTGTGTGAGGAGGGGCTGTGCATAGCTCACGCCATGTAGCAGGGGTCAGGAGTGAGTCAAGGGCTCCAGAAAGCTGTGGAACAGATCTGGGAGAATATAGTTGTATGATACTGGTGCTAGTTTGTGCCATGAGTTCTTTCCTTTCTCATGTATGGTTCTCCCTATTGTAAATCTGTGTCTTGGCTACCTGGAAGAAAGACTGCAATTTCATGGCGTTTTGAGGTTGACTGATGGTCCCAGGGAAGCTTTTCTGAATAGAAGTTGTAGGGTGCATTCTATCTAGTTAGTACCCTGCTTTTTGGCTATGGCCACCTTTGTTATCAGCATAAAGGAAATGAGTCATAAAACAGAGTATATTTTCTGATGTATCAGGGGGAAGATTTTTAAGATGTGGAGATCCTGGAAGGGGTAGCCAAGAGATTTGTTCTGTCTGAACTACTTCATGAGGGAGAGAATTCTCAATTATTTTCATATTTTTATTAAAGCTATCATACCCTTTGAGTCACTAGAACATTTGAATTAAATCAAAACTGGCTTATATTCTTGATTTTAATACTGGCATCCAAACTCACTCCAGTCCCTCCACTTCGTAGGAGAATACTTCCATTTTTCTGTTAATAGAACAGAAATCCTCACACCTGTGTGCTCTGGAAGCACAGTTTTATAGTAGATACTCCACTGCTTTCTGATGTTTTATTCAGTTCAAACAGAAGGAAAACATGTTCCTCTATTTCTGCATGTGTAATGTAGTTTGGGAGTGAAACTAAAAAGTTCAGTTTAAGTCCAGTTTGTTTTTGCACTAATAGATGAGGCAATGGGGTAGCTAAATTGTTGTCTTTTTTAGGGTATATTTTTTTCTATGTTTCTATTGTCACTGGGCTTAGCTGGCTTGTTTTAAGGTTCTACCAGATGAATGCTTTGTAAATCAGAGAGTGAATGGTAATTAACTCCAAGGCTTGGCACAGGCTGTCTCAAGAATTTCGGTGGCAAATTATTGACTGTGGGAACCTTGAACAGCCATCTACTCTTTTTATCTAATTGTCCTGGTTTTGCTAGGATAGAGTTAACTTTCTTTTTAGTAGTTAGAAGAGCTGTGTTTTTGTTTCAGCAGAACTTGTTATGAGAGGAATGTTGATAAAAGTACTAATGTTATTAGTTGCTGCTGGAGCTCAAGGCCATCGTGTTTGGCTGGTTCACAGCTGCATTAGGACTGGGAGGGAGAAGCGCAGTGAATAGCAAAACCCAGAACTGTCATCTGGTTGTGCCAATGAAATATTCCATATCATATCCTGTCATGTCAGTATATTAACCAGGGTTGACCAGAAGACAGGGGTATTCTCTCAGGGATCACTCAGGCTTGCTCTTCCGGGGTTTTGGTTTTGGGACTGTACCTGCTCCGGGATCACTGGCTGGTGCAGGCTGGACATTGGTCAGTGGGTGGTGAGCAATTGCACTGTGTATAACTCATTTGTACAGTCTGTTATCACTGTTTTTATCATTATCATTTTATTTTAATTAGTAAATACTTTTTATCTCAATCCATGAGTCCCCTTGCCCTTTTCTTTCCAATTCTCTACACTACTCCCTGGGCGAGGGGGTGGAGGGTGATAGAGCAGGCTGTGTTTGGCTGCAAGCTGCAAGCAAAAAGGGGGAATCCACCCAAACCACCACACTAATGAAGAAACACAAAGAGCAGCATTTCCCATGGCAAACTGGAGTTAACAGAAATGTTTAATTAAAAAAAAAAAAAAAAAAGAAATGTTTAATTAAAAAAAAAAAAAAAAGGCAGAGGAAGAAACCACTTGACAGATTCACTCAAAAGGCCATTTCTGGAGACTTCTTATATTTAATGAAAGTAAAAGTGTCTAAAAATTCATCAATGTACTCTTGAGAGAGTCATAATATTTTTTTTCGTATACACTGTAAAGGGGACAGAAAGGCACCAGGGCAGTTAATGTGGCCAGCAGGTACCAGAATCTCCTGGTTAACTTACAAGAAAAGCTTAAGTGCCTTTGAAACTGTGGAAGCAAAATGTCCAATATAAGCACATGCCTTCAGTTCAGAGATTTTAATGTATCCACAGTGACGTCCTTAGGAAACAAAACAATACGAGTAGTACAGAATGAAACCATTAGTTACTTCTTTTACCCATTTGTACTGGTCAAAGACCTCTTCCTCTCCTCAGCTTTAGCAAACATGCACTTTGATCCGTAGCAACAACCTTGCAGATCAGAAAGGATGCAGGCTGTCTAGTCTGACAAGCAACTGTACAAAAGCAAGACTGCACATCTTTATGGAGACAGGCAAAAGAGAAAGACCATGAACACATGTGCAAGCAACTTACCTCTGCTTTGACTGCCTTGCCTGTGTCTTCTGCCACGGTTCCTGATCTGTCTCACTAGCAGACTGATTCACTGTCAGAAACCCGCACCAATAAAAGGAAATCAAAATTCACTTACAAGCAGCATTAGAGTGCTGTGTGATGTCTGCCCATGTAGGAGAGCATGTTTAAGTGCTGATTTGGAAGTATTTAAGGAGTGGAGTTATTTATGATAAACAACACCGTTGCATGACATTTTGAAAGACCAAATTGCACCATGGAGCGGGAGAGGTAAAGAGGTGTCTAACCTGTTGTCATGGTTAGGATATTTAGCAGGGAGTTAGGGGATTCTTGTCCCCTGAGGCTGTGATAGAACTTGATGTGTACTGCTGCCTGTCTGGGGAAGTGCTGTGACCACATCATTTTGGGATGAAGAGGAGGAAGACTCCAGCTTTTCTCAACAATTTCTACCTAAGAACGTGGTCTCTGCTGCTGTGGTTTGTACAGAAGCTGGCGTGATCACCACTTCCACACCCATCACTTGTTTTCTGAACTGCTGTATACAAGTTGCTTGGGGACAATTCTTCTTTGTTAGGTAATCCTAGAATAAAAATACAAGTGACTTGAAAGGTCTGTATTTAGCATCACACACACGTTCCTAAATCTGTTGTTCAGTGAACACCACAACATGCAATGGCCAGTTTGCTCTGAATTAGCCTGCTCCTACAGGGCTTCTCAAGTATTGAATTAAGTTTGAAAACATCATATAAACTTTGTGTCCTAGAGGACGCTAACAAAATTTCTTGCTTCTTCCAAGTGATTTCCATTAACTCTATGAAAACATAGTATCTATGGAGACCTGCCTAACCACTGAAATACAGTAAGTATTCTGTTTTGAAAATCCTGGAGCAAGATTTTGATGCCTGGGTGGTCTGGCCTACATCTGGACATAGCATGAGATACCTAAGTGTGTCTTAACCCCCAGCATCAGCCAACTCTCTCTCAAGTACCCTCTGGTTATCCTGTGCCTCTAAACATCCCTGATGATCCACAGGCTTAGAGGGAGAGGACAAAGCGGAATACGTGTGTTCCTTTCTGCTTTGCAAACTCTGTAAAATACAAAAGTAGTGTTCATTTAAGGAAATGATCTGTATATGCTCTTCTTTTTATCTTTGAACCCTGTTCCTCTTCCCAAGTACTTTCATGGTTCTCATACATTTTCTCCCTGCTTTGCTCATTGATTAATTGCTAAGGAGGCATGTATAGGAATGGAGCTAGCTGTTTATCAAATGTTTCAGGGTGCTGATTCATCACCCAGTCACTGTGCTACTTGGCCAATTTAAAATTAAGAGTTATGATATACGATAACACTGATTGTGAAAATACACATGTCAGTAGGTTTGTGCAGATGTACAGCCCCACTCACCTTTACAGGACTGTAGTGTTCCACATTGTACGGTATTACCTGTGAACTCTTTATTGGGAATGGGCTCTTGGGAAGGCCAGGACCAGCCTGTATGAATCCAAAAAGTGATGCAAAAGGAAAAGATAGAAATTCATTAGCCCTGCCTCCTGTATTCTCTTCTTAGGGTACATTGTAAAGTGGGAACATGTCTGTGTCCTTTTTCTGGTAGTTGCTAGTGTTGTGAGGATTGTCGAATGCACTGTACCCTGCAGATATAGTCAATCAACAGCTTCAGCCCAGGGACAGAACTTTCTCAAAACTAGCCTGAGCGTGAAGAAATGGATTTCCTGAAACCAGCCTCCCAGCTTCACAACTTTTAGTTCTCAGCACAAAGTATATTCTTCTGCCCTTGATGTCTACAGCACATGTTTAGAATCATGTGTAGAAGTGTGTAGTAAGTATATTCCAAAACTCATCCTTTTCCTCAAGAAGGAGAGTGTGCAAACCATGTTGCTCTAATGCGGCCAAAGGACATCCCTGGAGATTTTTAAAAGATGTGTAGATGTGGCGCTTAGCAACATGGATTAGTGGTGGACTTGGTAGTGTTAGGTTTATGGTTGGACTCGACGATCTTAAAGATCTTTTCATAGAATCATAGAATGGTTAGGATTGGAAGGCACCTTAAAGATCATGCAGTTCCAACCCCCCTGCCATCAGCAGGGACACCTTCCACTAGACCAGGTTACTCAAAGCCTCATCCAGCCTGGCCTTAAACACCTCCAGGGAGGGGGCAGCCACAGCTTCTCTGGGCAACCTGGGCCAGTGTCTGACCACCCTCACAGTGAAGAACTTCTTCCTAATATCTAATCTAAATCTCCCCTCTTTCAGCTTAAAGCCATTTCCCCTTGTTCTGTCATTAACTGCCCTTATGAAAAGTCCTTCCCCAGCTTTCTTGTAGGCCCTCTTCAGGTATTGGAAGGCTGCTATAAGATCTTATAGGATCTTTCCATCCTAAACCCTTCTATGATTCTATGTTGTGCTTAATCAGAAAGCTTATGATGGAGCCTGAGGCTCTTTGGTTACTGTATGTCCAGGTAACACAATTTCCTTTTCACCTTCTCTGTTTGCTTTCTGCCTTTTTGCTTTTGATAATTTCT